AGGGCTGTCACAAAAGAAAAACAAAAACAGTTTTGAGCCTTCCTAGAGTTAACGGAGGCAAATCTGATGGATCAGTTGGTGGCACTTGTGTATATGAGATAGACCAGAGTTGCTATCACACATTGCTAGGGCAGGTTAGTTGGTGGCACTTGTGTATATGAGATAGTAGACCAGAGTTGTTATCACACATTGCTAGGGCAGGCTGGGGTGATAGAATCGTAGACTGTATCATTTCAGAACAGCAGTGGGGTGATGTTATATTTCAGTGCTCAGCCATGTGAGAAGTCTTTTTATGTAGCAAGCGAGCATATTGGAATGAGGGCTGTGCTGATTTTTTCCCACCCTGACGGGCCAGCTTACTCTATGCAAATTGTTTTTGTTTTCATATCATGCAGCAATCAGGAATGCTCTCTCACCCCCGCAATTGGAATTGGTACAGTCCATAATTCTGCTACTCATTTGTTCTGCATAATATATAGCTTGGCTCTGGGCCAGAGCTATACATACGGTGAAACAACGGGTAGGCTGCAGGGGGTGGGAAGGGACCATTTTTTAATGTATAGTCATCCGTGCAGCTAGAACATGGGCAAAGCAAGGATAAAGGCCCTACTCCTTACATTCTTCCTGATGTGCTGGGTTTTTTTGCTTTAAAGATATTCTAAAAAGCAGGGTTGCATTAAAAGAAGGTTACCTCAGATTCAGTCTTAGGTGTTACAGACCATTCTGTTATTTCATCTCAGTACCACAATGCTGACCCACATTTTAATAATTTAGCAGAACATATTTCTTTAGAATGTGGTGGCCCATTCAGGACACAAGAATGAAAGCATGTCTCCTAGCGACTGTGGGTGCCATCTTAGGCCCTGTCCACACGAGGGGTTTTGGGCCGGGAGTGGGCCAGATCGGGGCCGGAGCAAACGGGCGCGATCTCACTGCAACATATGGGCAGCATTGCGCACCCGTCCCCATCCGGCCCTTCCTCCCCAAAACGCATCAAAAATGAACCACCTACCGAGGTGGTTCGTCCACGACGGCCGCATCAACGCCGGCTGTGGGATCGCTGGCCCGTCTTTCTGCCGGCGCATCCCCGGCTCCTGCCTGAACTGCGCATGCTCAGGCATGCGCAGTTCGGCAGTCTCCCGTTCCCCTCTGTCGTTTCCCCCGGCATCTGATCGTGCCGAGGAGGGAATGCGCCGCGGCTCAAGGGATCAATGTGATCCCGCCGCGGCGTGTTTCTTTTGGTGCGGCTTTCAGAAGCCGCGCTTCACCCCGTCCCTTTCCGCCCCGTGTGGCAGGGGCCTTAGAGAGGCTAACCCATTTTACATATTGTGGAGGACCTGGGTGGAGCTGTGGGTATTTTCATTACCTGTTTTCTTTTTCTCTTTTTAAAAATAGCGTGTTACCTGTACTTTTTCATAATTTAGCTTTGTTAGAAATCAAAATAAAGTAGATCAGGGGGGTAGAGAGCTTTTAAGTTCTGAACCTGTGGTCCAAGACTGATTGTGCTACTGAAACCAGGGTTAGATGTTGGTTTGGAAGGCAGATCTTATTTATGTATTTACAATATTTATTACAAGAAAGTTTAGAATAATTTTAAGCACCTCGAATAAAAACAATATATGCAAAATAAAAGAGTTGATGGGAGTCTTTTCTTCAAAAAAAAAGTAAAGAAAACTCAGAGCAGGGCTAGACATTAGATCTTAAAGGAAGGGATGAGGATGGGGGTTATAGAACACGTTTCCTTTGAGATACTTGGAACGCAGACTGTGCAGATTTTTAAACGTGAAAACCAACCTTTTGAAGTGGGTCTGGAAACCAGGTTGAGAATCCATACAATTTGTTTAGTTCTGGTATTGTGTGTCTTTGTCAAGCCGTACTCATCAGTACATGGGTAGCTGCGTTATGTATTTATTGCCTGTAACCTCCAAGGGTAGCTGCATGTAGAATACATTACTGTAATTTGTTTGAGTCCAATGGCACCTTTAAGACCAACACAGTTTTATTCAAGGTATGAGCTTTTGTGTGCAAGCACACTTCTTCAGATACGAAACTTCAGAGACACGAAAGCTCATGCCTTGAATAAAACTTTGTTGGTCCTAAAGGTGCCACTGGACTCAAACTTAGTTCTACTGCTTCAGACCACCAGAATGTAATTTGTTTATTTATTTAGAATATTTATATCCCACAGTAGCTCCTTAGACGCAATGGTGGCTAACAAAGCAACAACAAGTTGCATGGATGCAAAAATGTGAGTCCCTTAATAAAATAAAAGCAACATACAATTGTGGCCAAACCTGCCAACACCCCTGACCACTGTGCCCTCTGAAACAGAACAATTCTGCATGCCTTCCTGAATGCAACCAGAGAAGGAGCCTTTCACACCCAATCTGACAGGTTATTCTAGAAGACTGATATGATTAGAGGAAACTGGATACGCCATACTTAGATGTAACTCCAAACTGTAGCTGAGTCTAACTAGAAGAAGTATCTGAAGAAGTGAGCAGTGACTCACGAAAGCTCACACGCTGCCAGAAATTTTGTTAGTCTTTAAGGTGCTACTGGACTCTTACTCTTTTCTACTGCTACAGACAGACTAACGCGGCTACCCATCTAGAAGAAGGGAGAATGTATGTACAGTGGGGGAGGAGGAGCATATGAGCTCTTGGGGCAGTGGGTTGTTTCCACTGAGCCCACGTGAACATGTGAAGATATGAAGCTGCCTTATACTGAATCAGACCATTGTTCCATCAATGTCAGTGCAGTGTACTCAGACCAGCAGCAGCTAGGGTATCAGTCTAAGGTCTGTTGAGAGCCAGTTTGGTGTAGTGGTTAAGTGTGCGGACTCTAATCTGGGAGAACCGGGTTTGATTCCCCACTCCTCCACTTGCACCTGGCTGGATGACCTTGGGCAAGCCATAGTTCTGATAAGAGCTGTCCTTGAGAAAGAGCAGTTTGTGTCAGAGTTCTCTCAGCCCCACCCACCTCACAGGGTGTCTGTTTCTTCTTCTTCTTCTTCTTCTTCTTCTTCTTCTTCTTCTTCTTCTTCCCCACTACTACATGATCCTTTTAGATGGAGATGCCTGGGATTGAGCCTGGGACCTTTTGCATGCCAAGCAGATGCTCTACCTCTGAGTCACAGCTCCTCAAGAAGTTCAAAGGGTGGGTTGTCAGAGGTTTTTAACAGATCTTTCTGTTATACTCTGGTCAGCCTGTCTCTCTTGAATGGACAGAGGTGTAGATTCTTCAGCCAGGGGTCCGCTGCACAGAAATGAGAGGTGATTCCAGAAGCGGATTACTTGATCTCTTGGAAAAAGCAGTCCAGGTAGTCTTGGATCAGGACATCCTCCGCGTCCTATCTGTTGGAGTTCTTGGATTACTGTGTTTCAGGCATGATGATTGGCTGAAACATGGTGATTTGCTATACAAAAGGTCATATTGAGGGCAGCTTCCCTCAATCCTTCATCTGCCTCAGTTTGGTGCCAGTTCTGACCACTCAGCCATTGAAATGGGAGGTGTTCCTGAGGAAAAGCAGTTTCTCACCCACCAGTTCTGGGGATGCTCTTGTGTAGATGAGAGCAAGCAGCCATATTGGTTGTGAGCTGTTTGCCTGCCAGCTTTTGTGGTCTAAGGAGAAAGGGTAGGCCGGGTTGAAGCCATTCTGAGCAAGCATGGTGGCCAGGCTGAAGCCCTAGAGAGGAAGTGTGGAATAGCGATTAATGGAGTTCAGGTCCCCAATCCGCCATGATGCTTTGCTTTTGGAATGAGTGAAACAAATGACAAGCTTTTACTCAGAAGTGTGTTGTATGAAAATTTTAATGTAAGACAACCAACAGTTTATATAGCATTTCCAGGAATACTTTTTTGTTTAAATGTAAATATGTTTGACGTTAATGTGTTTAGTGATAATACATTATAAAGAGTTCAGCATTCTCAAGCTTATAAAGTTCAACTTAATTTCAAAATATGCTGGTGACTCTATCTTCTGTGACCACCTGTTGTGACTATGTAAGGGTGTCTCTGGCCGAATCATACGCTTTCTTTTGTTTTCTACAGAATTTGATTTCTACTTTGAACTTTTCTCCCC